AAATAAATTTCTTCTTTGTCAATTTGACACATGTATATAACTTATGATTGCCGCCAGGCATGAAACTTTTATATATATATATATATATATACATATACATATATATATATATTTATATATATATATATATATATATATATATATATATATATATATATATATATATATATATATAAATATATATATATATATATATATATATATATATATATATATATATATATATATATATATATATATATATATATATATATATATATATGTATATATATATTTGCTGTTGTTATATTATATTATTGTTAAGCTCATTGCGACAGAAACTGGCTCCAAAAATCTTTATTATTTTGTGTGCAAACTTATTGTGCACTCTTGTTCTATTCCTCGCTTTGGTATCAAAAGCAGAACCTCGTGGTTTGTGTCAGACTGTTGCTTCATTGTTGCAGTTTTTTGTTTTGTCAACATTTTTCTGGATGGCAGTAGAAGGATTTAATTTATATAAAATGTTTGTAAAAGTGTTTGGTGGATCATCTGACTCCACTAAATTTTTGCTAAAAGCTTCAGCATTTGGATGGGGTGAGTTTGCTACCTACACATTTTATCTTTAAGATATTGATAAATCTTAAAAAAGTTGTTTTGATATGTATAGAATGTCAATAAAGGCTCTCAAAAACGTCATATGTTGTATAGACTGTTTTCTTTTATGTGTAATTTTATTTACTCTATTTTTCTTTTCTTGTCTAAAGCTTAAATGGTAAGAAGTGAATTTTGTAATGATTTCATTTCATTTAATCAACTTTTGCTTTTTTTTTAGGTATGCCATTAGTATTAACAATTGCGACTGCAGTGTGTAAACCTGATTCCTTAGGCCCCGGTACAGGTTCAATCACTAAAACAGAATCAAAGTTGTAAGCAAAGTATTATTTTTTAAACCTAATGTCTATTACTTTAAACACTGAAATTTTGTATTTATTATTCAAGATTTCTTTTTGTTTAGGTGTGTTGTTCGTGGTTTTTCATTTTATTTTGGTATACTTTTACCTGTCTGCCTAGTAATGGCATTCAATGTTGTAATACTTTTATTAGCTATCAAAGGTATCGATAGCAACTCTAGTCTACAGAATAAGATGAAGAAAAAAAAGAAAGTTCGAATTGCTTTTGCATGCTCTCTATTGCTTGGCACAACTTGGTTATTTGCAATTTTAGCTGTAGGAAAACTTAAAGTTGCATTTCAATGGTTGTTTTGTATTTTTAATTCTCTTCAAGGTTTCTTTATATTTCTGTTCTATACCCTTGATAATAAAAAAGTTAAAGAACAATGGGTATCATTTTTGTATGAAAAATGTGGCTGGAGATCAAAAAAATTTGTGATAAGTATGTCAAGATTTTTTTTAACAAAAAGAATACTAGTTTCTATGTATATTAAAAACGTTTGAGATAAATAAGTCAAGATCGTTTTTAACAAAAAGAGAATATGTAGTAAAAATTAAATAACTCAATAAAAAAATCTGAGGCTGATATACATAATATAGCAACAATAATAAATATAAACTTAAAATATCAGGTTGACCAAGTACATATTAATTTATTCTGTTAAAAGTTGTTCTATTAGTTATACAGAGATATTTTACCTTCTAATTGTTGTAACCATTTTTCAATCTAAGACGTAAGAAGTCATTGTACTGCAAAGATAAAATAACATGAATTAACAAAATAAATAGTCAAATCTCATTGATTTTTATTGAAAATGGTTATGATAAACATAAAAGACCCTATTAAACCAAAAAAATATAAAAAGTTTGTTGCTTTATTCAATTATTTGTATAGAATTTAAAATCTGATGTCACTTTTCAGCTATTGGGTCTGATCAAAATTGCATATAAAAAAGTTATTTTAAAGTTTTTCTTGTTCCATGTAAATGCGGATTAAAGTATTTAGGCGAAACATGCAGTTTGATAAAAATCAGAATGAAACAGCACCAGTATTCAATATTTTCTGAAACAGGCTTAAGATCGGCTGAAAGTTTAAGATATTATCGATTGTGATAATATTATGTTGGTCAAAAATCAGAAAATGATTTTTATAAAAGAGCTATTTGGGAATCTTTAGAAATACAAGTTCTAGTGTGAATAGCTATACAGGTAGGTATGTCAAAACTAGTCAATGACAAGATGTGTTTGCGCATATAAAAGAAACCAACCTAATTTTAAAAATTGAGAAACCTGCCTAAAGCAACTGAATCAAACTCAAGATAAAAAACAAAAAAATTTTGCATTGCTTATTTTTTAAGTGAAATAACTTTTAACTTCTCAGATTAAAATATGGTTCCAACAATTAGATTAATTCATAAATTTTGAGCACTAAAATATTTTACTATAAAATTTAAAATTTCTCGATGAATATAAGTCTAGTTGAAAATAGTACAAAAAATATTTCATCAACTAGTTGCTCTCACGCTTGGGGCAGGAGGCTAAACTTTAAGGATTACTTGTTCCCATTCTCCTATCACAATAATTTTTTTTTTAAAATCTTTTTGTCATACATAAGAACGTAAAAAAATGTGGAATATTCTTGTTGTTTATAAGTTAGTTATTTCAAACATTTATAAACCTTCCTTTGCCACTATATATATATATATATATATATATATATATATATATATATATATATATATATATATATATATATATATATATATATATATATATATATATATATATATATATATATATATATATATATATATATATATATATATATATATATATATATATATATATATATATGTATATATATATATATAATATATATATATTTATTTATATTTATATATATAAATATATATTTATATATATATATATATATATTTATATATATATATTTATATATATATATTTATATATATATATATTTATATATTTATATATTTATATATATATATATATACATATATTTATATATATATATATATATATATATATATATATATACACATATATTTATATATATATGTTTATATATATATATATATTTATATATATATATATATTTATATATATATATATATTTATATATATATATTTATATATATATATATATATTTATATATTTATATATATATATTTATATATTTATATATATATATTTATTTATTTATATGGCAATTCCACGCAAGTGACGGTAAGTTTTTTGTCGTGACGGTGGTAACGAAAATGCCAATAGTGAAAAACAACTGAATGCATTTATTGAATTTATTGCATGGTGCAATGAATGGCATAAAAAAAATGAGTGATTATAAAAACCAAGTAAGTTATGTTAAAATATTCACTTTATAACATTATCACTGGGATAAAATTACATTCATAATGGGTATAATGATCTGGGTATGATAATGATGACTGGGTATGATCATATTAATTTTATTTGGATTAAGCAACAAATGCTTAATGCCCTTTTATCTCCTGCTTGAAACATAAGTTAAATAAATAATTATATTAGACAAGTAAATTTCTAATAATATAATAACTAATAATAACTAAGTTTATTCGTTTTAAAAAAACACATTAAAAAGTATTAGAAAATTTTAAAACTAAAAATTTTCCATTTTTTATTCGCCAGAAATGCATTTTGGTAATATTTTTAACAGCTTTTGCTTCTTCTATTTCGTAGGCTATTAAGGCCCATTTTAGATTACTATCATCAGTGTTGATAAGCCTAACATAAGTTTTGCACCCATTTGATGCTAAAAGGAAGTCTTTAGCATTTAAGACGAAAAATCCCTGAGATTTTACGCTAACATATCGCTTCATGGCTCCTCCTACTCCATCAACTGCTCCTTTACCGTGAGAGGTAGCAAAGAAATATACTCTGAAAATGATATTTAACAGTGCAATGTTGTATAACCATATATTTATTTTTGAATTGTGTGCAAGGACCATCACTCCATAATATATGCAATAGAGGTCAAATATTTTATTTTAGTAGTGGCGCGTTTTGTTTTATCAATATTGTCAGATATTAGTACAACTGATTTTGGATCTAATTGGTAACGGTAGATTACAACTGTAAACAAGGTAATAGTCTACTGCGACCAAAAAGCAGCTTGAACAGCATCCTGATAACCACATGTATAGTTTTGTGAATAATCGAAGTGTACCAAAATTTTTGGTGTGGTTCGAGATTTTCTTTTTGACTTCTGTATTGCTCAGACTGGTGCTTTTTAGTGAGATAATGCTCGGTAAACTCTAGTAAATAGTTGCGGAAGTGTTTAAAAACAACTTTTATGTTTTTTCTATGTTGACTGAGTGCACAGCGATGATCTTTTATCCACCAACTAATGGTAATTAATGTATCAAAGTCTCCGTTTTTGGGCGAAAAAACTCTTAATAATTTTCTATCACTACGTAATGAACATTTCATAATCCATAAGAATGCATGTAGGCCTAATGTATGTAAGTTTGATACGAAGCATAGAAAAAACTTTTAGACTTTTTTTCGTGACGGTCGTAACGTATTGTTCTCATTAATATATTCTTCTTATAGACCTAGTTAGAGTGCGTTTTTATAAAAAATATTATGAATAATGTTTAATTTATCCTTTAATTCAAACTTAGAAGTAAAAGTTATTTAAAAACACAGCACTGAAACCTTTATCAACGCTTCACATCAGGGCTGTATATAAACATTAAAAAATATTTATATAACCCTTACAACTTTATAACTATGTTAAGGTATTATAAAAGAATTTTTTTTAATAATTTTTTCTTAAAGATATTCTTAAATAGTTGAAAAATAAATTATTGAGGTTACTATAAGTTGGCGTAACATTTTTTTTGTTCCTCTTCTACGTGGAATTGCCCATATATATATATATATGTATATATATATATATATATATATATATATATATATATATATATATATATATATATATATATATATATATATATATATATATATATATATATATATATATATATATATAAAATGAAAAAACTTTGATAAGTAATTTTCTACTAATTTATTATTGCTCTGAAAATTGCATGAACATTGAGCACTCTGATTTGTAGAAATTGTGTAAAAATATATATATATATATATATATATATATATATATATATATATATATATATATTTATATATATATATATATAGTTATATATATAACTATATATATATATATATATATATATATATATATATATATATATATATATATATATATATATATTATATATATATATATATATATATATATATATATATATATATATATATATATATATATATATATATATATATATATATATAGTTATATATATAGTTATATATATATATATATATATATATATATATATATATATATATATATATATATATATATATATATATATATATTAGTGCTGGGCAACGATTAAATATTTTAATCGCGATTAATCGCAGAAATACGAAAAATTCAATAATAAAACCACAAGTAGTATATATATAGCGTAAATTTATTTTTCCATAGTTAAATTAACATAACTTTTGGTTTGTCAAAACTTTAAACAATTTTATCCATTCTTCCAACTTTACTTACTTATCTGCACCAAGCCAGTTACTAAGACAAACAAGGTAATTCACATTTTCAGATGATAAAGAAACTCTCTTCTTTTGTACAATATGACCAGCAAGAGAAAACAATCTTTCACAAGGAACAGATGTTGCAGGTGTTGCCAAGTACTTCTGTGCAATTGAGGCCAGCCTGTTGTGTGAGCCTGCATGTTTGGACCACCACTGTAATGGACAGGCCTCTGTACTAATGGTGGGCTCTGCTTTGTACCGACGCACACCGTTTTCAATTGAGTCTTCCTCTTGTTCAGAATCAGACTCTGATGAAGCAACCAATAGAGCAAACTTTCTCTTTGATGGCTTTGGTGTTGCTGCTTCCACAGGTTCATCTGCAATAACCCTCTGTTCCTTGAGTAAGTTAGTGATTGAGACCCACACCTCACCTCTCTCAACTCTGGGTATACACTTGAGGTCTTTGAATCTCGGGTCCAATGCGGTTGCAATCTTTAGATATGCAATGTTAGCATTTTCCTTGCGTGTTTCCAGATCTATTCTGAACATAGATTTGAATTTGACTACATAGGCCGGGTCATCATCTGAGCTCTCCATCACCCGAGAGAGATGGCATAAAGCATTTCACTCAAATGTTTTGCATTCACTTATACACACAAAAAGTGTTCTCATGTTCATGCTTACGCACAAATACAGACACATCAATTCTCTCACATGCAATCAAACCAGTCAGTAAGAAATATATGATGTAAAATATACCTGCAGGGTTCTAGGAGCTTTTCCAACCTCTGCAATTTGTCCATTTCAGCTGGAGTTGGCATAGCAACTTTTGTGTTGTGTGTGGTGAGGACATCGCTCAGTGGCTGTTCGTTTCTGCGAACACTTTTTATCATGTCCAGAGTCGAGTTCCATCTGGTTGGAATGTCTTGTATAAGCGACTCCTTCTTTTGTCCAAGCTCAATTTGTTTTTTTTCTAATTCTGCAGCACTTGCTGGACTGTGTTTAAAATGGCCCACCACCTTTCTGCATTTAGCCAGGGCATTGTCAAACGCGCTGTTGTGCAAAGATACTGTGACAGAACGCTGAAGACTGTGAGCGACACAAGGGACGCGTTCAAAAGGCAGATGTCTTGCAGCAGCGACAATATTTCTAGCACAATCTGTGCTAAGTGTGCTGACTTTATTTAAATTGTCCCACTGCTGTGCAACATGAATGAAATGTTCTGCGCACGTTTCAGCAAAATGTCTTTCTTGTGTCTTCATTACTGTCAAAGCATGTGAATGCAGTTTCCATTGTTCATCAATGTAATGCACAGTTACTCCGAGATAATTATGGTTACCCAGCGATGTCCAGTAGTCTCCGGTGAGGGCAACAGTTTGTGCACGTTGTAATGCCGTTGCCTTTATAGTCCTCTCGTTTTCATACAGTTCATGTATTTTTCTTACAATGGTGCGTCTTGGCGGAGGCACATACGTGCAGTCATTCGTTGCGATCCGAATAACATTCTTCAAACCGATATCTTCCACAATACTAATTGGCCTGCAATTTGTAGCTACCCACTTTGCAATGGCATTTCTTATCTAATCTTTCTTTTGTTTCTCTGTAGTTCTCCCTCGTGCTGCATCTAACGTAGTCTGCCGAAGGTTTCCTCCACTGTTTGTTTGGGTGGATGATTTGTTAGCATCAACGGTGTGCATTGCATTTAAGTGATACTTCAAACTTGAAGTACTCCGATGATAAGAAAATTCCGCTTTGCAGTGTTTACAAATAGCTTTAGTTCTTTTTACTCCTTGTTGAAGAGGTTTAAAATAAAAGAGTCCGTTTAAAATTTCGGTACCTTTTTCCATTTTTAAATATTTCTCAATTTACTTACTGCTTGTTGTTTGAGCATAAGCAATAACATAAATACGCACGAAAGTTTCAATTCTTTTATGATTCGATTATTATCGAATTATAAATAATTAAATTATAATTCGATTATTACATAATTTTGAAACAATACAAAATAAATAAACAAAACTATAAATAAACATAAAAATACAAAATGCAAAATAACTTTTTTAATATATTAATACTAATATAAATTAATATAATAATAATTATAAGCAATAATAAGCAAAAAATATAAAATGAGAAACGAAAACTTTGACAGACAGTTTCACAAAAGAAAAATAAAGTTAAGCTTGTGAATCTTAAAAAAAAAACGAGCGGCAGAAACTCATAATGAACTCATTGTAAAGACTAATAGGTGGAAAAAAAAATTTCATAAAAACTTAGCAAAAAAAAATATTTTTTTACAATAATAAAATCTGGAGATTATTTTTTTAATTTAAATTTAATAGTTCTGTAAACTAAAGATTGACAGGTCTGTTTTGATGAATTTTTTGCAGCCCTGTCACTTTTTAGTTTAATGAACTATTAAATTTAAATTAAAAAGTTTACTTTTCACTTTTTAGACTTTCAAAATAAAAAGTACGTTAACGCGCGATAAAATTATTGTCGGCGTTAATTAATTAATGCGTTATCGCGATAATGACGCGTTAACTTACCCAGCCCTAATGTGTATATATATATATATATATATATATATATATATATATATATATATATATATATATATATATATATATATATATAGTTATATATATAGTTATATATATATATATATATATATATATATATATATATATATATATATAACTATATATATATAACTATATATATGTATATATATATATATATATATATATATATATATATATATATATATATATATATATATATAACTATATATATATATAGTTATATTTTTTTACACAATTTCTACAAATCAGAGTGCTCAATGTTCATGCAATTTTCAGAGCAATAATAAATTAGTAGAAAATTACTTATCAAAGTTTTTTCATTTTACACTATGCTTCATTAACAAAGACTAAGAAATGTATGATCAAATTAATAAAACTTCAATTTATACCAAAAATTAAATTAAAGGAAGTCATAAATGTCTCAAATACTGAAAATTTTCACTTATGAAATATGTTGACACTATAATAAAAAGAATTCTTTTAAGTTGTTTACGTCTGCTTTTTTTTAAAAAAGTATATTTTTAAAGGGGGGGATTTAATATAATTTAGTTATATAGATTTTTAAGAGAAACTGATTTTCATGTCTGCATTGAGAGATTAATTTCAATTTTTTGTTTAATAAACATTATTGGTTAGCATGTGTATTTATTTCAAATTTTTCTTGTAGGCATAATATGCATTTTTTGAAAATATTTTTTGTTAAAACCGAAAACAAACACAGCTTATGTATTAAATAATAATTAAGATGGTAAAATGTATAGATTTTTATCGTAATAATAGATAATTAAGATAGTTATTTAAAACAAAAATTACTTCAACTTTTATACCTGTTTTGGAAAACTTGTAAATTAAAAATAAAAATGTAGATTTATTCTTTTTGGCATTAATGATTTTTACCCCTTTATCAAGAAAAATAATCAATATTAATGATTTATGCCTTTACCGTGATAATGGTTTAGTACGCATTACTAAGCGTAAATTAAAAAAGCCTGTGCACCAGGCACAGCAAACATTTATGAAAGTCTATATTATGCGTTTTCTTAGCAAAACTTTATAAAAGAACAAAACCATTGTTAGCTCTAAAATCACCTCATCAAAATTTTAAAAGAAACCTTCAAAATTTTGTAATTGTTGATTAAAACTAATATAAAAAATTTTTTTAGTCATAAATATAGTAAAATCGTTATTATTTTGACAAGATTCTAACTGATCCATGAGCTGTTCTGTGTAAATTGTTATCAAACATGCTAAATGGCATGTCATTACTAATTGACTCAATGACCAAGGAGGAGTCACAATGCATGGTGATTTCTTTAGTCAGTAAATTAACTTGTTTTTCTAGGACGATCACTCTTTCTACGTGACTTAACATTGTCCAGCTGCAACGCCTGAGTTAAACCTGTTGTTACTGTAGTCATAGAAATACGCAGTGCTGCGGGAAATTGTCTGTGTGACATTTTCAGTCGCTGCAAGGAGATCTTTTGGTCCTTTTTTCTAGGTGTTATTTTTGTCTTTTTTCGCAAGTTAACCAAATTTCTCGTTTCTCAAAAATCTGCAAAAACGATTAAATTGCGTACTTTTTAGATATGGCGAGAAAACTATTTGAATTTAATTAGCTGTTTAAAATAAATAGTATTTTTCTTTATTTTTTACAAATTTTTATGTTATATATATATATATATATATATATATATATATATATATATATATATAATATATATATAAATAGCAGAGTAGAGTAGTAAAACATTTATTTTACCGCAAGGAGATAACTCCTGGAGCAGAGCATGAATACAAGCCCTGCTATTGGCAACCTAAGCAGATAATTTTATTATACATTTTATTTAATAGTTAAGCAATTTTTTCTAAAAACCTATTGTGATGGATTTCTCAAAAAATCTAAGGATTCGCTTTAGTGAAAAAGTTATTGTAAAAAAAATTAAGTATAAAAATTAGTAAGAAAGTTGTGAACTGTTTTACAATTATCAGTTTTTTCTCGGCGTAAGCATTTAGGATGAACTTAGATTCTGCTGTAAATAGTTTAACATTTCAGTTAATTCTATCAATTTTATTTTCAATGTTTAAATGTTGCATGCCATCAAAAGGTGTTCTTCTGACTGTTAAAGTGTCAAAATTAAGAAAGTGCAAGCGTTTTTCATAGTGTATTTGTTTTAGATCGTGAGGTACTTTAGTAGTTTTTCTGAATACGTTCTATGCGTGTTACTGCTGATTTTGGATAATAATTACACGCTGGAGTTGCAAATTCTAAATGCGGTCTGATATAAACTGTGTATAATATCTTTTATACTTATTTGTCTCTAGTAATGAATGAATTTTCATCCATCTTAAAATGTTACTAGCTTTAAATGCAATTTTAAGCGTGTGTATCCCACTTGCCATTCAACGTTATGGTAATGCCGAGATCATGCTCCTTTTCAGAGTTCGAAATATTTATGGTAGTTGAAGTTGCAGCATCAAACATGTAGTAATATTTTAGGGTTTTTTTTTCTCATATGCATCACTTTGCATTTTTTGTGGTTAATTATTGCCGACCTTATTTTTCTTAATTCCAAGGGTTTTATATATACGCATAAACTCTACATAGCTGTAAACGGTAGTGTGTATATAAAATACATACACAGTACTGTTCATAATTGTTCGAATAACATCAACATTTTAAAAAATTATTTCTTATTTTTGCGTAGATTAGATTTTATATTAATGTATTTTAATTATTTTTTTTTTTTTTTGTTTTGTTTTTTAATTATTTCATATATATATATATATATATATATATATATATATATATATATATATATATATATATATATATATATATATATATATTATATTTTTATATATAAAATTTAATTTTCTGAAAAACAATTATGATTGTTTATAGTTTATAGATAGATAAATTTATAGATTTTATATTAATGTATTATAATTATTTTTTTTTTTTTTTTTTTTTAGCAAACGCGAAACAAGTTAATACAGATTCTCACACTCCTACATTGACATTGCAAATGAATACATTATAAAATAATAGCTAGTATTTATTACCATTTCTACACTTCACAAAGTTCTTCTGCTAATTCCGTCATAAATTTCTAAAACTTGCGATAAATTTAGCTTAATCATGATCACTTTGAAAAGTTTGCGATAAATTTAACTTATAAATCATTTTGGCACACGTATCCATGATAACTTTGGTAAACAAAACAATGATGTTATGAAATTAAACTGTTTTTTGTTATGAAAAAAAACTGAAAATTTTTATTTTTTAACTGTTTATTATATATATATATATATATATATATATATATATATATATATATATATATATATATATATATATATATATATATATATATATCCTATTTGTAAAATATAATTATTTTTAGTGCTACTTTTATATGTAGTTTAGTAAATCAACTTAATTGATGCTTGTGTTTGACTCGATTATAAACAAATGAAGTTGTTTTTGCGTCTGTGACACTTATAAAAATTCAAATTTTGTTAGAGGTCGTCCATAAAGTACGTAGGCCAAAAATTTTGAAATCTGACCCCCTTCCTCCCCCCTGTTGCCATGCGTACTTTTAAGTCCTTTACCCCTAAAAATGCACGTACGTTTTTGAAATGCCTTCCCCCCTCTAACTTTTTTTTTTAATCAAAAAGTTTATGGAAAAAAAAAGTGAAGGAGGTACCTTAGCTACTTTATACCGAAAAACCTTAATATCGAAAACAAAGCCAGTGCCTAGGATAGATACCCATACCCCTTAATTTTGGGGGAAAGGGGGCAGGGGGAAAGGGACAAAAAAATTTGTGTCTTTTTGTGAATTTAAGGAGCTTTTTATTTTAGCGAAACCTAGCGGTAAAATGTGGGAGACTTTGAGACCCAAATGACACGTTTTTTTTTTTTTTTTTTGGGGGGGGGAGGTCGACCCATTAGCCATGGCACTGCTAAAAACCTGTTTTTTTTCGACTCAAAAAATATATTGCCTGAAATATGCTTTACTAAAGGCCAGTATATAAGGGGTGGCATGTGTGTATTGACACTCCATTAGTTAGGAGCTTGCAAAAGCTCCAAACATAAGTATGCTTATGTTAAATGTGTTACATTTAAATTATAGTACAAGCTCTAAAATTTAAGTATTACTATGCCAAATGGCCTAGATACAAAAAAGCCCAAAAACGCTTGCCTCTCACCACCCCCCCCCACCCTCATAAAGCGTGAGGGCACTAGTGTAGTAAAATTTCAACTTTACCATCTTAAGCTAAATTTAAATTTATTGGCAGATTTAAAATTTCGTAAAAAAATATTGTAAATTACATAAGTTACAAAATTTACACCCCTCCTCTTTTTTTTTAGGGAGAGGGGCGTTTTTAGGGAGAGGGGCTAATTATTTGCAAGGCCTCCTTGTTTAGCATAGCTGTAAACATACCTAAATTTGGAGTTTGCACAGTGTGTGAAAGTGTCCTATCTGGAACATCCAAAAATCCTGCAGGCACCTTTGCATGTGTGTGAATTGAGGGAAACTATACCCTCTACTCTCTATACAAAACATCTTTTTATGTTGGCAAACTAGGATCTTCAGTCAGAATTTTAACTTTTTTGTTGGTTAGCTGATTAATTGTGATTAATTAGAAAATCGATGTACGTACTTTTAAATTGAACCTTTTCCCCCTCCCTCCCCCCCCCCCCCCTTCCTTCATACGCTTTTTGAAAACCTTCCCCCTCCCCCTTTCCCCCTCCTTATGAGCGTACGTACTTTATGGACGACCTCTTATTAAAGCTCGTGTGTTGTTTATATTAAACTAATTTAATTATTTTTTTAAACATTTCTAATTATTTTAGAGATTTATTGAATTTTTTTATATATAGAAAATTTAATTATATACTTTTTTAACATATGCATAAAAATCTAATATCTTAAAAGTTTTGAAAGACTTATAATAATAAGGCTTTATTTTTCTTTATATGTTGGCTAGTTTTATGGAGTGTAAATATAGCGAAATTTGTATAATCAAAACTTAATTTTAAAACTATTTTTACTTTTAACTCTATTAAAGTTTTGCATAGGACTTATGTAGGAAGTATAAGATAAATAACAACTGTATGGCAGCCATCTCCATTTGTTATCTTTTTCGTACTTTAAAGAAAACTTTATTATTAAAACAAAATTATTATGTTATTGTTTTACTGTTATTAAAATTTTACTTATTGCATACAAACTAATGCAATTACTAATCTAGTGGAATTACAATAATATACATAAATTGTGTAAATTTTTGAAATAACTTTTCTGTTAACAGTTTATTTATAAATAAATTTAAAATCTATGCTTTCAGTATATTATTATTATTATAGTTGTAGCCGTAAATTTACATAGAATGTACACATACAGCGAGCAGGGGAAACACCCCACTATAAACAACCAGTTTTATAAATATTTGTTCCAAACTTTTTCCACAACCAGGAGTCTAGTCTATTTTTGAAAGAAAGTACAGAGGAGTACAAAGTTATTTGCTCTGGTAGATTGTTCCAGTATTTTGCTGATCTATTATACAAATGATTATATCTTGGAAGACAGTTTAGAACATACTCACGCCTTATTTTAGAATGGTGACCACGAGACACGGAGTTAATATATTTTGGTAGATATTTATCATTAACTATATCAAAACGATGTATTAATTTAAAAATTTGGATTAAATCGCATCGAAGGCGTCGAAACTCAAGAGATGGTAGGTTTAATCTTTTTAGCCTTTCGCAGTATTGAAGATGCCTCAAGCTGTAAGCCCATTTTGTAGCTTTGCGTTGAACAGATTCAACCAAAGCTATATCAGCTTTTAAAAAAGGAGCCCAAATGGACACTCCATATTCAAGATGTGGTCTTATAAATACTTTATATAATTTGAGAGCCATTTTTTCATCAATGAAAGTGAATGTCTTTTTCAGCATACCGAGAATTTGTAAGGACTTAGAGACAACTGTTTGAATATGAGCGCTCCACTTGAGGTTAGATGTAAAAATGACTCCTAAATCACGTTCTTTAGTAGAGCTTCTTAGAGATTGGTTGATTCCTTGGTTATTTTGAAGAAAGTAATTGTAATGGGGGTTGTTTCGACCGTAATGAATGACGCAGCATTTTGAAGTGTTTAGCTTAAGTAACCAAGTGTTTGACCACTCGTATACCAAGCGTAGACGATCCTGCAGATCAACAAAATTAGATTGCGATAAGGTTTTAGAAAAAAGTTTAGTATCATCGGCAAATATCTCAGAAGTTTCAGTGAGTTTTGCAAGATCATTTGTGTAGAGAATGAAGAGGAGCGGGCCGAGAACAGAACCTTGAGGAACACCACTGAGAACATCAACCCATGCAGAGCTGGTATTGTTAATTGTAACGCGTTGCTTTCTGCCCACTAAAAAAGATTTAATCCATTGTAGGAGTTTGCCGTTTATTCCGAAAGATCTTAATTTTAACAAAAGTCTGTTGTGAGGTACAGAGTCAAACGCTTTGGCAAAGTCAAGATAGATTACATCAATAAATTGGTGAGATGCTATGGAGGACGAAATGATATCAAAAGTTTCTATTAGGTTAGTTACGCATGATTTATGATGAAGGAAGCCATGTTGATTTGCAGAGAGCATTTTATTATCGTTAATGTGCTTTAAAATTTTTTTCTTTACAAGTTTTTCAAAGATTTTACAGGCAACAGATGTTAGTGAAATAGGTCTATAGTTTTCAGCAAGTAATTTATCTCCCTTTTTTTTATAGATCGGACTAATATTTGCTAATTTCCATTGAGTGGGTACTACTCCAGAATTAAAGGATTTATGAAAGATTTTTGTTAATGGAATTGCGAAGCTTTTGGCACATATCTTGAGTATTAAGGGATGCAAGCCGTCAGATCCGAAGGATTTATAAGGCTTTAGATCGGCAAGTTCCTGAATAATATCTGAGATAGAGAAATCCAAGTTTTCATTATAAATGCATTCAGAAAGAATACCACTTTTATTTAGCAAAGGAAAATTTTCAGAGCTTTCAAGTGTAAACATAGATTTAAATTGAGAGTTCAGAAGATCAACTATATCAGGAAGAGCTTCAATAATTCTGCCTGAAGTATCTTTGAGAGAGCGAATTCTATCTTTAATTTTTAGTTGTTTGTTGATATATTTGTAAACGATTTTTGGGTTGTTTTGGGATTTTGATATTATTTCTTTTTCATGTGCTTTTTTTGCTTTAAATATTTCAGTTTTTACTGAACGATTTAGGCGATTGTATTTTATTTTAAGCTCACTATTCTCCCATTTGGTAGAGCAGTTTATATGCCAAGCGGATTTTTTTTCTCGGATCAGGTTTTTAATATGTGGGGTAACCCAAGGATCGTGCAACCCAAGTACCCAAGAACCCAAGTACCCAAGTACCCAAGAACCCAAGTATAGTGCATTTTTAAAAAATCATTGTTTTTTTCTGAGTTGAAATTTACAAAAAATTCTAGCTTAATAAAGGCAAGGTATAATTATGCTTGAATCTAGCGATTACAACTCCGGGATTTCAAAATTCCGGGATCTGGAAATTCCATGTTGTCTTTGATTCCACCATTTAACGGAGCAGACATTCATCTCTGTTTAATCCATAACTTTTGCATTAAAATAGAGAGCAAAGAAAACTTATTACTATAAAGTGAACTTATTGTTGTGCTCCAGTTAATTGCACTTTAAATAGAGGAAAATTAATGATATTCTTATTTTTAGCGTTTGGTTTATCCATTCACGCTGGTAATTATTTTATGTAATTTCTCACACTTGCGGATTTATTTGAAAAAAGAACCGGTTGTCGATAATCTAGCAATTAAATTTAGCTAAACATTTGATCTAAAATAATTATATCGTTTCCGTCAATTTTAGTATTTAAAAGTTTAAGAGTATGGAAATTAGCAATTTGGGTTAAAAAAATTTCCCGCATATTTATGCCATCATAGTTTTTCATTCAAAATGGCGTCCTCTCAAACTGAAAGAAGTAGTAAATTTTGGATAAAGACTGAGCTGAGACTTTCATCATTTGAGCGACCGTGGTTGCAAAACGAAATAAAATTTCCGAAAGACTACTCAATGGGAAGTGAAATGGACTCAGAAATTAAAAAGAATGTTGAAAATCACCTGGTATTGGTTGGGCCTAGATGGCTGTTTAAAAGAAATAGGAATTGCAATGCTCTCTAAACTCACTAGAAGTCATTTAACAGGTCTTGTTTTATCAATTAAGTTATACATTTCATGGCAAATAATGAGGTTTATGGCAGCTATTTTTGAGAGCTATGGAGGAAGCATAGAGTAACTAACACCAAGAAATAACACGATAAACCTTTTTATAATAGAAAAACAAGATACAGCAGTTCAACTGTTTAATCCATCAATTTAATGGAATAAATAACCTTAAAAAAAGAAATTAATTAATCAAAAACAAAATTATCTTATGTTAGGGAATCAAATGTTGTTGTCAGCATAAATACCCCAATACATATGAAATACTTTCATAATATAAATCCTCTCAAAGTTTGCTATTATATACAAAGATATACTGCTGAAGGCTTTGTTGTTGACACTGCAGTTCAATCTCTTGTCAACAAAGAGTTCAGTAATACCTGAATGGTGATTCAAAAACGGTTATTTTCATAGCCACAAAAGCTTTTAAATGCATTAATAGGCATAAAATAAATAATAATATGAAAATAGCAATTTCAAAATTGTGTGAATGCGAATGTGGATATTGAGGTAATTATATTTTTATGTGAGAGTAATTTTTTATTTTGATGAGCAAATAAATTTATATAAATTTTATTTTGATGATTAACAAAATAATTTAAAGCAAGAATAAATAAAAAAATACATAACCAATTCTTCGAGGTATAAAATAATGCATTTTTGAAATCTTTTTCTTCTTAACTGGTTAAATGTTCTTATATCATAATATGTTTTTATTAAGATTTGTGGCTATGAAAATAACCGATTTTATAAAGCATCATTTAAATTTACTAATTATGCTGAAGTGATCCTCTCTTGGTTCTTCTGTTCTTACTTTCTATAAAGAGAAAAATAACTTAAAAAAAAAACATAACGCAAGCTGAAATTCAGTTCGAGAAATAAATTTACTATGAAAGTTTTACATAAGTTCACATATTCATATATATATGAACTTGTTTAAAACTTCCATAGAAATAAATAAGTTCATATGTCAATATTAATAATTTTTGAATTTTATAAAACATCAACTAACCAATATGATTAAAATATAGTAAATTTTTTATTAAAAAAACATTATTAACTTAAAATATACATATGATTACTCTTACATATGATTTATATTTACAACAAGCCCTCTAGATGTCTTATCAAATCTTTTTACGAGCTTTTAGCTCATTTCTAAGCTGGTAAATAGTTAATGCTTGAAGAATAAGTTGAGTAATAACTTGATTGCATTCATTTTTTGCTGTGTGTTTGTTCAACGAACATGCATCTGTAAATCTTTTGCTACATATTTTGCATTTAACAGGCTTTATTATGAATAAAATATCTTCTGTCAAATATTTCTTCTGGACACAATCTAAAATTGAAACAGACTCGGTGCAAACTTGACATGAAACCTCAGATTGTAGTAAACGTGAACAGTTAGAGCATTCTTTGTCTGTAACAGGTTTACGAGGTCGAAAATTAGATTGATACATGGATGGTATTGGAAAATGATAAGGCAAGTAAAAATTTCGTACATAGCTAGACCGCATCAGTTGATACTATTTACCTCTTTCGTTTTGTTTTGTAGATCTGTTGCTACAAGTTTTTAATTCTTGTTTAATGGATGAATGCTTGGATTCTTTTCCTTGCATAGAAAGAATCCCATAACCAACTCCATAACCCTTGAAAATTTCTTCCGCATGAAGTGGAACAACATAACCAATAGTCCAAACTGTACTGTTGTAGTTTAGAGGGAAAAAAAGCGCAAATAATAAAAAATGTCTTCGACAGGCAGCAGTAACACTTTCAACATAAATTTCATCAACAACATCTACAATGTTAATTATACTTCCAACATCTCGAAGTGCAGTAAATATCTGCGCTAGAACTAGTCTTATAACTTTTTCCTGTTCTGATTCTTTATTATGTTTCAAAACGTCAACTAAGCGATAACCATATTGGGCAATCGATATCGCTTGTGCATCAATAATCCTGACAGATGGAGTCTTCAATCTTTGCAATGAATAAATATTACAATATGATATTTTGATACTAAAATTATAATAAAAACCAATATGCAAAATTACTTATAATAATTTTAAATTTGTTTACTATAAATATAACTTACCGATTATCTTCCACACGGTAATGTTCTTCATACATTTTACCAATAAAACTTAAGCCAATTCCAAAAATAGAATCAGAAGAATGCTTAGCTGATGCTTTTAGGATTTTACAAAACTCAACAAATCTGTTTCGTCTTGTTGCTTCAAAATACAATACATTTAGGCATTGTGTCCAATTGTTTATTTTTAAATGTAGGGGGTCTGATTTTATTCTGTCTGAAATTATACCAATTCTTGATTCACCTAATGGACGCCATCCAATCTCAGCCATAAAATCCAGAAACTTTAGAATTTTTATTATAATCTTAATGGTAACATAATTATAATACAATTATTTACAAGTATAGTATACAAGTATAAATAAATAAAAATATGTTAAAAAGATATATTGCTAAGCATGCAACATTTTTCAATTTGCAATTATTGCAATATCTAGTTTTTTTTTTGAAAATTTTTGCGGAAAATACGTTCTTTTGAACTATGATGTGGACTCAAATTTACCGGCGTGATTGATTCATCAAAAGTAGATTTATGTTTGTTAAATATTCTTTCTCTTGTAGGTAGTTACAGAAGTTCCTCTCATCAAAACTTTATAACTGCTTCTCTCATCATAATTGATAACTTTAATTTTAATATCATCATTCCAAAAAATAAATATAAGGGTTTATCAAATCTGTATCAAATCAGCTAATGTTCAACAAAAAAAACTATTGCAAATTTTATCGTGAAGTGTTGCATCTTTTATTCATTTACAAGGAATATTGTTGAAAATGCCTATACGAAATAAAATTGAAATTTAGATTTAGCAATAGTATTGAAAAACTAGCAAACAGGTAAATCAAGCTAAAAGTGTTGCTACATCGACTGAAAAATAGGTAGAACATGCAAGGAGTCGAATGGAGTTGCAAGTAATCGATTAAGGGTTTATGTTGGGCAGTCTATCAATTAAAAAAAAAGTTAAAAATAATCTCTTTTTTTTAATTTTCGACGTCATTCAATTTTTAATTATTTCAATTATTATGTTAATAATTTTTTTCTAATTTCGATCTTATACGACAATTTCAAATTTATTCTTTATTTCAATATTTTTTTTTTATTATTTTAATTCACCTCCTCAAGGCCGGGAAGGCCACTACAGACGAGGAGGCTACTTATTTGTGGCTATAACCCTCTCTCAACTCTATAACTCCGAAACACGAACCTTGACGAACAAGGTCGCTGCGCGGAGAAACGAGTTGAGCGCGGTACTACCAGGGACGTGGTGGGGATCGAACTCGGAATCAATCGTTTATGAAGCGATACATTAATCAGGAAAAAATTTTTTTTCATTAGTTCAGTGTGACTGTTTTTAATACTGTGACTAGTACCCTTAAAAATCGTTGGCTTTTGAAACAGTTCAGATAAGTGCTGGAACAAAGAACAATTTTCATAGACATTTTTGAAAAAAAAATCCTAGATGATTTAAAAAAAAAGTCTTGATAAAAAAAATAATGATTTTTTGTTTATCTTAATTGAAACTTTTGATTACTTAACTTGTATAATGGTTGTTTAACAAATATATAAACATAAAATATAAAAAATGCCAAAGTTCTTTATTTATTTTAACGATAATAAATATAGTCTTAAAATAAAAGAAACTTTTTAGACCACCAAAAAGTAAATGGAAAATCAATTTAGTTTCGTGGAAATTTATTAACAACTACTGTTAATCAAAGTAAACTTAGCAAATTCAATTTTTAGATTGTTTAGTACCTAATATTTATGATAAAAGGCACATAAAAGCACCAATAAAATATATTTATCACAAATGCGATTCTCGAAAAAGAATATTTTTGTTAGTTAACGTGCCACCCCAAACCCCTGTTGCTCCCTACTCATTTTCCCTTTCCCCCTCCCCTTCTCAATTCAATGTTTAGAGGAATAGATCAGTATTATCTGGCTAAATGATGCTTATTTGGTTAAAAACTTTATTTAGATCATTTATATATCAAGGAAAGTAGAGTCCAAGGATTAAACAGTGAGAAACACCGCAGTCAATGTCAAGACAATTGTTTTGATAATAGCTATCTTATTTACAAATGGTTTTCTTGTTTTTAAATAGCTTCTAAACAATTTTAAAGCAATACCTTTAATTCCGTAATTCTTTGGTTTTTAAAGTAAAATGTGGTGATCTTGAAAGCTTTTGATAGGTCAATGAAGATGCCTACATGCACTGTGATTTTTCAAAGATTACTGCAAGTTCTGTTGAGTTTTTTTTTAAACATATTTGTTTGTCATACTGTAAATTATTTTTATAGAGAAGTATGTTTTTTCTACTACACATAACTGTTTCTAACATTTTTTTAAAATGCCAATAGAATAGAAATAGGACGATAGGTGCTAATATTTGATCTGTCATCTTCTTTAAAGATGGGAGTAACTTTAACAACTTTCATATGCTCTCAAAATATTCCTTGATTAAGGTGGTAGCCCTATAAAAAAGGTGGTTTTGAGAAATAAAAAGAAATCTACCATATTTAAGTGTTTATAATTTTTATTGGAAATAATTAGGATAATAAAAAAAAAAAAAAAAATTGTTTTATCCATAATGGGGGAAAAAGTGTCATAAAATCAGCAGAAGTGATCACATTTTAAAATGCTGTAAGTCAGTTTTTCTTCAATAGTTTTTAATTAAACTTTAGGACATTCTACAGTACATCATTTAATCTTCAGATTTTTCCTAAATCAAAAAGTTATTAACTTTTTTGGTATAATTTTGTGATATGTTTTGAAACTTTTATGTCTATAAATCAATATTAAGAGTGATTCATAAAAATTCTGACGGTTAAATGAAGTGCATATATATTGTGAGCACATCCTGAAAATTTCAAAACAAATACGATATCCAATATCAAGTTATCATGTTTTAAGTTTTCAAAAAACGCTCAAAATGTGAAGCTGAGAAAAGTACAAAAGAAAGTTTAAAAAGTAAAAATCTCAACCAAAATATTTTTTTAAATTCTAATAATTTCCTGTAGCATATGAGTCTATGAGTTATTTTTCTTTTAAAATGTCATAGTTACCTTTTTGTTTTGCTCTCATGGTTTTCTTCGCTTTTTTACATTGTCAGTAGCTTTTTTGGTCATGCGTTTTATAGATATATTCAGTTTTTTTTTTTTTAAATTTGGTGCGAAAGATTGCTGTCAATCTAAAATATTCTAACATGCCAAGGATTCTTTTTCTGTCATTGTTAAAATATATTTTAGTTTAATAGGTACCTAATTCTATATTTTTTTCTTTCCAACAAGTATGTATTTTGATACACGAGACCATATGATTGCATTGAAAAGCTTTGTTTGCATTTCGTGTTTTGCCAAACACTTTTCCATCATCCATTAAAGCTTTAAAATTTGTAAAGATAAGGTTTTTTATCTACAGAGGAATTGAATTTAGTGACCTATATGTTTTATTTTTTTTTGACCAACACTTGCACATTTTCCAGCATTTCGTGGGCAAAATTTTTGATAATCAAAAGGATCTGGTATGTCAGTGAAATAAAAAAAGATTGTTAATATTGCCTTCTTCATAGCATACAAATTTCAAATATTATTTAAAATGGCTAGGCCATAATAATTTAGCATAGAGTCAATGCACTTATTGGTAAATTTGCTTCTACCAGATAAATGTGTTTTAGCGTTTTTATAAGATTTGAAAAGATTGTGCGAACGAGTCCCAAGGCGCTTCTGTACGTGCAATATACAACCACAATGTACTGTATGTGATAGAATAATAAAGCCGTCCCCTCCCCTCCTTCTTTTCATTAAAAAGATTTCAAACAAAAAATTAAATAAAAGTTTTTTTTAACTTTATACAAAAAAGCATTGCAACCTTATCTCTTCCCCAACCTCATATATTTACCATAAATGATTCCATGATGTCTGTGTTTCATCACTTTATATCAAGTTTGCATTAATAATACGAAACCAAATCTGAACAACACGTTAATAAAAATAAGAAAAACTAATATCAAATAATGTCTTGTTTTGTCGACTTGTCGAAAATGTTTAGCTGCAATAAGTCTTTAAATTTTTAACAAACAAGCGGCAACAGAGCTATGTATGCTTGTTTTAGTTAATCAGACATGTCTTTAATGAACAAACAAACAAAAATTTCGGCTATGAAACTCTAAAAATTTTAGAAACTTCTCTTGTATTAACAAGAAAACAGTTTCATCTTAACAATAAAAGTATAATTTTTGAGTTGAAAATATAATAGTTTTAAAAAATAAAACAGCTGTTGCCTGGAATAGTATACATATTGGTTTCAAATAATTAGACATTTTTATTTTTAGGCATTTTTTTTTTTTTTTGGGAAATTTTTCTATAAAATATTAAAAAAAAAAAAAAAATTAAGTGAAAAAAAACTTCAAAATTTACCAGGCGGTAAAAATTTTACCTTTGCAACACTAATAGAAAAAAATATTCGGAGAACAATAAATTCGCTTAAGTAAACATTGTTTACAAAAATATAGCTATTTTTTACGAAAATTTTATAAGTAAATTTAGTAAGATATTTGTATGGTGTTTTAAAACTGCCATTTTTTTTTGATAAACATTTCAGCAAACACGGTACAGCCCTGATATATATATATATATATATATATATATATATATATATATATATATATATATATATATATATATATATATATATATATATATATATATATATATATATATATATATATATATATATATATATATATATATATATATATATATATATATTTTCAGGTAAAATTTTTACCTGAAATGTTTATCAAAAAAAAAAGGCAGTTTTAAAACACCATACAAATATCTTACTAAATTTACTTATAAAATTTTCGTAAAAAATAGCTATATTTTTGTAAACAATGTTTACTTAAGCGAATTTATTGTTCTCCGAATATTTTTTTCTACTTTTTGTACTGCATAGGCGTATAAGCAAACCAGGAAAAAAAGGTCTATAGAATTTTCTATAAATTTTTGAAACATATGGCCTATAGAAACTCTATAGAATTTCTATAGAATGTCAATTAATTTCTATAGAAATTGCTTTAAAACTTTTTTTCCTATAAAAAAAATAGGAAAAGAATTTTCAATAGGAAGTTTTTTAGATGTTCACAGAAACTCTATAGAAATTCTATAGAAATTTGTAGAATTTCTATAAGTCATATGTTTCAAAAGTTTATATAAAATTCTATGGAACTTATTTTCCTAGGAAGCTTCTTGTTGGAAAATGGGTATCGATACAAAGATTAATAATTCTTTGATAAATGATTTAAATTTTTATTCAAAAACTAATTTTTTTTTATACAATTTTCTAGGATATAAAATAAAAAATTATTTTGAGACTTGTTTATAATCAACAATTTTATTGTAGAGGATATTCATGATGGCTAATAAATTAAGTCTATCTGTAGTCATACTGGCTCTCAACCATGTTCTTAATCTTCGCATTGCTGAAACTGCGTTTACATTCTGCGGACGTTACAGGTAGTGTACATCCGATCTTTGGATGCTCAAATAGATTAGGATATTTATTTTCATCGCAGATTTTAGCTTTAGCTAGAGTATTGGGCCTATCTTCAGGTTTAATGACATACCATTTTCTTTTCCAAAACTTGAATTCTTGTTCTTTAGCTTAATTTTTCAGTAGATGGTTAAAATGTTGATTGTTTCTTGAATGTTACTGTATACATACACAATATCAGTTGTGTGCCCTTGTAACCTCTCTGTTATATCCAACAACGGTAGAAGTAAGCGGTACAAAATTATAATACCAATTATGAAATCAAACTTAGTGAGTGCATAAGGAGTGAGTTGACCTCTCTTTGTCCTTGTGCGTCCCAATCCATAATAAACTCTATATTGAACTGTTCTATATTAGAGTGTATTCCTAAAATAATCTCTAATGCCTCTGCCATAAATGGTATAGCTAAATAAAAAGTGTTCATATGCAGCATCTCTTTCAGACCATCTTGTTTTGCACATCCCTATCAAAATCTTTTTTCTTTCAGTTGATTTACAACGGATTTCTGCAACATGCTCCAGCAAGCGCTCTCTTTTCAGAGAAATATTAAAATAAATGAATATATTTTTGTATACCTCCAAAATTTTATCAATGATTGGTATTTTTGATGTTGCAGCAATCGATAAATTCAAATTATGTGAGCTAAAATGTGTTACAACTGCTTTTGGTGATCCTTTTAAACTATAGCTGGCAACACCTTCTTTTACAAATTGCATGGTGTTCCATTGTAACACTGGCCTCTACAAGAACTAAGATCAATTCCACTTTCGCTATAAAATTCCATCAAGCTTTTCCCAATATGCTTGCTTGTTATCCTGTCAAGATTCAAAAAGTCAAGTAATACTTCTCTAATTGATTTTTCTCCGTTTACGTATCTCATACATACTGATAGAATTTGTTGGTTTGCAGTTGTTACCTCATCTGCTGAAATTGAATAACAATTT